CATGCTGGCAGGTGTTTCAGAAGGTGTATGTTTTAGGGCTGAAACGATTCATCGAGTAACTCGATTACAAAAAATCCTCGAGGAAATTTATCTGCCTCGAAGCTTCGCTAAATTTATTGTATTGTAATAAGCAATGCTGTTAAATACGCAGCACACTGGTCTAGCCGGAGGGTTTTTGTGTTGCACAACGCTACCACTTCCGTTAGTGCCTGGAGCGCTTGTGCTAAGTTTGTAGCTATGGAGGGAACCGGAGAATGCTCAGAAGGAGAACCCCGAAAGCGACAAAAAATGTCAAAAGTTTGGGAACATTTTAGGCTAAACAGAAAGGACAACACAGCGCAATGCATCCACTGCAAAGCAAAATTGGCATACCACAACAGCATGACATCAATGTTGCAGCATCTGAAGAGAAAACACCCGCTACATGCATCCAACTCGTACACGGTTGCCAACAGGTAACGTTTATGTTCTCTTTGCTAACTAGGTTGTGTGATAATCTGCCATGTTATAGATGTAAATTGAGGCACATTATTTTGCTAACGTTACATCTAAACATAGCGGTTACTTAACCGGGTGTAGTGTAAATTGTATGTGAGGGTGGAACTAAGAGAAATTATGCAGGACTTAATGTAAGTTTGTTAATAAAAATACGCAGCAACAGATTACAGGCATAAGCTGAAAAGCATTTATTTATTGGTGTCTTTCCATCCTGAAAAGTTACAGTCTTTTCTTCTCGCTACTGTTATGTATGAATTAGAAATTTTTTATTACGGTAATATTTTTTGTAGTAATTCTATATTTGTTTATACCTAAGCAATCAAGAATAAATAATAGCATCGTTTTAATAAAAATAGCAACATTTTTGCATTTTATCATGACTAGTTAAGGCTGCAGAAATCTGTACAAACTCAAACCTTTACATTTTGAGTAAGTTTATTTTTTTTATCCGATTACTCAATTAATCGTAAGAATAATCAATAGATTACTCGATTACTAAAATATTCGTTTACAACAGCCCTAGTATGTTTCATTGAAGGAAAGGTTAAACAGTGTATTTTTTCCCAGCCCTGAAACACAGCTGACTGAAAATATTAAATCATGCCCTCAGTGTGTCATTTGGTTCTGTAGAAGCCTATGAATGCCCTATTCCTTCAAACAAGACAGAAAACACACCTAAAACCTAAGGGGTCTTTTATGTGTTGCTAAGCAGCTGTTATCTAACATTCTAAAAGCAAAGAAACAAACACAAAGTCTGACTTTTTCAGCTCAAGGTTTTTCGGATGCTTATTCATCATCAATGAATATCCTTCATGTGTCTAATTGACCACACTGGAAGAAAACAGGGTTATGAGAGAAACTCTCTGATGTACAGTAAGAAGGGCCAACAGTTCCTTTTAACAAAAACCAGGGTAGCACCGGACTCAGACACAAACATATCACAGAGGTCCGTGAAAAATGTCCCGGAAACAATGAACCTGCTTTCTTAGTGCATCACGAAGCACCTTGCTTATACTTCTGGAGATTCCAGACTCTATTTAGAGAGTCTGGCTTGACATATCTCCAGTTACAGAGGCCAGACTCTGTGTGCCCAGCCAGCAAGCAGGTATGTAAATGAAGTTTCACGCTTTCAGAGCTGACAAGCAGTGGCTGGTAGCACATGGTAACTATTGCTTAACCAAGAAGAAATGATAGAAAAGCTCATTACAAGTGTTATTACATAGTTTATAAAGCATTTTAAATTGTTTGTGTGGTTCTAATGGCGTCATGCATGTGAACAAAATTACTCTGTCCTAAGGTATTTTCACCCTTTTTTCACAAATCCTCAGATGAAAAAAAATAGTTAATTGAGCTCAAGATTATTTGCGATTTTATTTAATAAGGCGATTATTAAAAGGGAAGAGGTGTGTAGTGGAATTGAAGGATACAAGGTTTTCATAAGTCAGTACTTTGCAGAGTAACCTCTACTGCAATTTCCTCTTTGCCCCTTTTGGAAATGTCTCTACAAACTTTGTTAGGGTTAAAAAACTTGGAGTTTCAGCTCTTTTACAGTTTTCTGGGATTTTATTCCAGATTAAGGTCTGAACACACCGGTTGCAAACGACTTTATAATCTCCAATATGATTTTTTTTCCATGTCAAACTAACTGCATGTAGAGAAGCTCCTATTGCAGGGTGTGCTTTTCTTTTCACTTCTTTCTGTCCTACACACAAATTAAAACAATTTCCCACATTCGATTTGGACAGATTATGAAAAAAATTTTTTTTATTGTTATTTTTAACACAGGTGCATTCTATAAAGCAAAGCCCCACTTAAGGAGTCTGTGCAGCATCTCAAACATGAACAGATAGAGAATGTTCATGTATTAAAAAAATAATGAGATTTAATTCTAAAGAAAAGAAAAACAGCAATTAACGAAACGGGATGGTTCATATGCTGACTGAAACTGGGGGGTGATTCTCAGAGAGAGAGATCTGGGAAGTTTATTAAAGTTTTTCTTTTTTTTTTTTCATAAAGAGGTGACGGATATGCCACACTTACCTGCTGTCTGCGTCGTTATCTATTTTTTTGTGAGGCTTAAAAAGGATCACCACTTTATCCATTTTCTGTCATCCTGAACTCCTATCATGGGTTGAAGTTTTCTTTTTTAATTCCTTAATTTTTTCACAAGTCTGTCCCGCTTACTATATACGCGATGAGCAGCTCCAAAAGTGACTGTTTCCCCGCGTGATTAACAGATTTTTTTTTGTATTTTCCCTCAAAGCGAATGCGCTTTTCTTTGTAACCTATCCCTCTGCCTGTCAGACCCATGAAATTGCCGCTGAAATAGACCCGGGGTTCTATCTTAGTGGGACTAACACAAGCCCCGCTACATAAAACTGATTTTGGTGTGATCATCCTTTTGACTTTAAATGAGCGCTAAATGCAACGGCCTAAATTTTCTGTAGGATCAGAAACAAAAGTTTGGTTGGTTCTGGCCTTTGGTGGATGATTAGTACTAAATGTTTCTTATCCATGTTCTAGTTCTAGTTCTAGTTATGCAGATTAGACTTTAGCCATAAGATGTGAGAGGTCAGGGTGGTTGATAACCTGGCAAGTCAAATTGATCATGTTAAGCAGGGAGGTTTAATTCTACTCATTATCAATCTGGGATTGCTTCCATCTAATCTGTTCAGGGAGAGGAGAAACTAGCAGAGGTTTCTGAGCTGATTGGGAGAAGCGACATCTAGTTACCTACCATACTTTGGTTTTAGCCAATCAGATTAACATCGGAAATGGCAGCAGATGCTATGAGAAAATACATCTTACTTTTCTACGCTCCATTGTTCCTCTTTCAGAGATGTAATCATGGATAGCCATGTTTATTTTGGTTCGGCTGCTGGCTCGAAAACTCTGGCAATCTGTGAATAGTTCAAATTTTGGGAGTCTTCTTTTCTAACCCAACTCAGCTTTAAAGGTTCTTTTGATTTTGTCCCCTGGAACTTCTTGATGCTGGTTTTCCAAATGTTGTTTAACAAACATCTGAGGCCTTTACAGAGCAGCTAGATTTCAGCTGAGAAACTATATAACTGTATATATATATATATAACTATATATTTATTTATAAAAAAATAAACAGACAAGTATTAGGAAAAGTATAAAAATATATTTAGAAAAAGAGCTGAATAGAAATGCTGAGTAAAATTGAATATATCTTTATAAAACCAAAACCATTTATCATATTATACGTTGCAGTAATGAGCTACTTTGTCTTGTCTATTGAGGACAGTCTGAATAAAATATACTGAACATTTTGAGTTATAGCTCGAACTTACAATAAATATTAATGTTTACTCAGCATGAAATTGGCCAGAGGTATATGATCAATAACAAAATTAACGTGCAAATCAATCAAACATAAACATTACGTTTGTTTGAAATTCACATAAAATTATAATTTCTTAAATAAATAAGGAAGAGTTAGCACGCATTATGCATATTTCTATGCCTCGGTTTTTATCTGTGACCGTTTATGACCACTGCCTTTGCAATACACATTTATTCCCTAAGACGCTTTTTTCTCCCCAAAAAAATCTGTCAGGGTCTGAAATTCATGAAGTCAAAAGATGGCAGGGATGGCTGCAGTTCAGGATGCAGAGAAGTCAGGGACTAATTTCAGCTTCCCTCTCCAAATGTCAAAATCTGCACATGTCCAAATGTCCGGTGGGCATTTAACCCCACACTGCCTCCAATATGCTCACCAATATGGGAGTACATGAGTGAGTGAGGCCTGCAGTGAAAAAGTGCTTTTATGCTAGAAGCATCTCAAGGTTTATACAAAGTGCCAGTCTGCAACAAAGGTTTTGATTAAAAAAAAAAAAAAAAAAAAAACTTTATGGGTCCAGAAAAGCACTGATCACATAAGTTGTCACCAAAATGATATATATGTCTGTCTTTCCTTGGTTTATAAACTTGTTCTTTGAGATTTTGTAATCCTGCTCATTAGAGGTGATGCCGACATGCCAGGACAGGAACACTGACATAGAATACATCTAACCAACCACCTGCAGTTCTTGTGATTGCATCGTGACTCTCTCTAATTTTACCCTTGAATGATTTTCTGTGGAAAAGCACCAACACAGAAAAGGTCTCTCCCCTGAGATTGCCCAAAACAGACTGGATGAGCAGACATTAACAACGCAAATGAAACACTGCTTCCAAGTGCATTTGTTTAGTTTGTTTGGGACTGAAACCATTCTCAAATCTGCTCCCTTTCTTTTTGTAACAAAGCTTTAACTCTGCAGCTCTAATTGCTCAGAAAACAGTCCTGGTCAGTTAAGTAAGATTCGGCTATCCATAAACTCTGAAAAGCTTCTTATACAAGGATGACAGTGGCTTATAAAGAGCGACAGAGGCCTGGAATATAAAAATGCATCCTGGAGCCACTTCACATGTGCCTAAGTCTAATGAAAAGTAAAGCAGCAAACAAAATGGGAAGGAACAGCTGGTGCTCGGGTACTTACGTCTGTGTCGGGTCCCTTGTCTGCCCCCGGGCAGGAGAACGTGACAAATTCATGGCACCTCTTGTGGACCACAAAACAGCAAACTGCAGGGTGAGAAAACAGAATAAGAAAAAGGAGGGAAAGAATGAGTGAAAACACAACAAAAGGCAGGTAAAACTGTTAAAATTCTGTTTTTTTTTTCAGTGAAACATTGACATTTACAAAAAGAACACTTATTGCACAATCACAGACACAGAAAAGTGGTAGCTCCTATAGCTAAATATTCCTTCAAGTGTCTTTGAAATTGCCAGTTGTGTTTGTGTGTTTACTGCTCTTGTTGCACAGGATTGTTTCTTTAACTACAAAGCAGACAATAAATCAGACAATGATAAATGGGTTGAAAACAGTGGATTGATTTGAAGGCTCATCCTTGGCTTTGGTGTGCAAAGCTATGATCTCCCTACTGACCAATCTTACACAAAAAATGTAGAATTAGTGATCTAAGATTAAGACTAGTAAAAATCTGAATATGTAGCCTCTATCTATATTTTATAAACAAATAAAAACGCTTTAAAGGTACCAGCGAAATAATACACACATAGGAATAGCACTGGCCCTTTGTCTGGTACCAGGTATATGACAGCAGAGCTCTGAACTATTGGCCGAGCTAACTAAATAAAAACCTGCTAAAGGCAAAAGCAAGCAGCACCATCTAAGTTGAATGTGAGCAATGCTGGTAAGTTTTTCAAGTCTTTGAAAGATGCTAGAGCATAGCAATAGGACTTAAAAATCAAATCTCAGATTATTCTCTAACAAATTTGATATAATTGATTTTTTTCTCACCTAAATTTCATTATTAAAGTAAGTAATGACATATATTGCTTTCAAAAACTAGCTTTGATTTCAATCATCCCATCAGGGAGATAACTTTGTTTTAAAGGACAGCAAAATTCCAGTTATGAAATAAGTTTGTGAAATCAAATTGTTATACATAAATCTATGACAATAAACATAATAAATTATTGCAGCTAATGGTATCACACAGTGAGCCAGTTTATCCATTATTATTATTATTACTACACATCTAAGAAAAAAAGTGATGAACTGATGTCTATGGAATTCCAAAGAAAAATACAGATTTGACCCAACTTAAAATTACAAAGGGCTGCTCAGTGGGGCAGTGGGTAGCACTGCTGCCTTTCAGCAAGAAGGTTCCAGGTCCCCGGGGTCTTTCTGCATGGAGTTTGTATGTTCTCCATGAGCATGTGTGGGTTTTCATCGGGTACTCCCGCTTCCTCCCACAGTCCAAAAACATGACTGTTAGGTTAATTGGCTTCTCTAAATTGTCCTTAGGCATGAGTGTGTATTTGAATGTTTGTTTGTCTCTGTGTTATTTGTGTCAGAAAATGGATGGATGAATAAAATCATCATAAACAGCAGATATGATGAATTGATTAATCAGCCAGCTTTAATAGATGGGATAGATTCATCTCGGAAATATTTATAAATTATCAGAAAAAAAAAGTGGACTTAACGATCAAATGACAATGGTTCCAAATAGATATGGTGAATAGATTTTACTTCTCAGAAATGGTATCCTAAATAAAAACTTAAATTTATCATCCAGACTTTAACCTCTAAAATACTATTTCAGTTGGATTTGTATAACAGCATTACAGAAGAGAAGTATACCGAGGCAGAGTTCAACCAAATCCTTCAGACTTATTAAACAGTATTCCATCTTAGAACACTCAGCAGATTGCATCCAGTCATTGACTTTGCCGAATTGGCTCCTCCTGGATGAAAACGTAGATAGTCCCTATTGTGTCACTAACTCTGCAGCAATCATTCATACCGAGCATTGCCAACTCCCCTCTAGCAGGGAAAGACCTTCTGCAGAACTAGGCTCAGAGTGAGCAGATAGAGCATACACACAAAAAAGGAACACAGAATCATTGATTCAGGAGTACTTGCTCTGCTTAAGAAAGTCAGAATATGGTCTGGATTAAATAAATTAAATGTTCAAAGAAGACATGTCAAGACTGTGAATAAAATGGACCCAAAAATACAACCTTGAGGAACTCCTAAGGCAACGGGAGGATGCTAAGGAAAAGGATTTTTCCTTCTAACAAATATGAATCGACAAGATGAATGGGATGTTAAGCCTGAATTCCAACAATATCTTGTTGGTGTCAGGTTTCCAGAGCTGGGTGGAGTGGCTCTGTGTGTTTTCCCTTTGCTCTCACAGGGTGGCACACTAATTGATTCCAGCTGGGTTACATTACCTCAATCAGTGGTGGCCTTTAAGAAGGAGCAGTCTCCCTGAAGCAGACGGTTGTTGTATTCAGAGCCATAACCATCCAACTTAGAGAAATTTCAGCGTTGAGGGTCCCCCCCAACCCCCAACCCCCACCCCTGAAAGACCAGTGTCTTCACTCTCAAACCCCAACATCTACTTCCAACTAGCTAAGACCAGACTCCTACTCAGTGTAAGCTGACTTAAACACTTTGAGCAACTTTCCATAATCCATATCCAATCTAACAACTTGTTTTCCCTTCCAATGCCTCTCAGTCCTGGCTCCCACAGTTATTTCCATACTCTGCTCTCCTTTGCATGTCCCTGAAAATAAACAGTTTAAATCTGCTTCTCTCTGTGCTTGTGCCTACTTAAGTCCAAGAGCTAGCATTATGACAGTTGGTAATGTAGAAAGACAGCATACCCAGAGCTGCAATAAAATCTAAACAGCAAATTTGACTATAATAGAACAGTGTCAGTGCCTCAATAGGCCCTAGAAGCTAACTGGAATTTTTCTTCAATATCCAGCCCTCCATCACTAGCATCTGAAAACAGACCTACAAACATTTCTAATGTGATGTCAATGAACGCACAGTGGAGAACTCGCACTTGGATTCTTGTGCCTCCACACATTCAGAGCACACAAAGTTGTTCTGTATGTCCAAGTGCCAGGTCACTGAGTACACCATAGCATGCAGGCAATGGAAGCAGCTGAGTCAATGTGGAGGACGGTGCCTGTTACTGGCTCTGAAAAACCTGCTTACACCAAGACGATACCAGGGAGAGAATGACTGACTAGGCATCCAAAAAAACAGAATTAAAAAAACATTTAAACCTCCAAGCCAAGAGCAGATGTTTCTAATTGTTAGTTCTACTTAGGGACCATGTTGAAAAAAAAATCTCTTTTTCTTTGGCACCTAAAATGCTCTCAAGGCCAGTGCTAACCTCATGAGATAGAAGCTGTTATATTAAAACGGTCTTTCATTCGTCTTCATTTCTAGTAAAAGAAGTGATTTTAGTGATTTGAATAACGTCAGAGATGTGATGAACTGCCCTTGGCGGGATTCAGTTTAATGTGCACTTTCATTTCCTCCAAAAACACCAAGACTAGTTTTTAGAGAGGATCAGATGCTGAGGTTCTGTTCATCATGGGTAGAAACATTAACAGTGCTGGACCTTTATTGAGCTATTTTACACACACACACCCATATATATACACACACACACACACACATACACAGATATAAATATATCTGGGTATACATATCATGTCATTTATCTGTGTATGTGATATACACAGATATATATATATATATATATGGTACACATATCATGTAATTTAACTGTTTCTGAGTAATTATTTAAGTTTGTTAAAACTTAAACATGTAAGATTCTATACGCCGCTCTATATTATTATAAATCTGCATCACTTTCAATAAAATCATGCCACATAGATTTGAAGTTGCTGGCAAATTATTAATCATAACTCCCACCTCATCAAATTAGAATTCCTTTTCCAAGTGATAATCGCCACCGTGTTTGGATAACATTATTACATTTTGCTTATAAATAATTCACGATTTGTACAATTCATAAACAGTCCATGTTTGGAACATGATACCGGCATTTACGTCCCAGTATCAGATAGTAGCTCTGATATTACTCTGTCTTCTGTTTGATGTATTATGACACAATAAAATAAATTGCATTCTAGCTCTTTGCACAGTCATCTTCACAACTTATCTCAAAGAGAGGGATTATTTCACTCGTTTGAAAGGTGGGGGGGTGGGGACAAAAATCCAGTTAATATTTACCCATTTCTTTGAACTTCAGTAGCCACTAATTCCCCACAACACAGCTTCTCTCCATTCACTTCATTTGAAATGAAAAGGCATGTCTGGTCAAATATTAACAAATAAAGTTGACAACACTTGTCTGGGATGACTAAAAAAAGCTCCTTATTAACTACATTCCTTTTATGCCAAACCAAAAGCTTGACACGAGGTATGGTGAACAAGTGAAACTTTAATTTCCCTTTACAGTTTTAAATATTGTGAAAATTTTGCTGGGAAATATTTCACCTTTCTTTATCTGAACTGACGCAAAGTATATCATAAATTGTCTCATAGGAGGAACAGCACAGAAGCGGAAGATCAAAGGTTACTTCTGCTGCAAAGGTTGACTTCATCACTTTTACCACAATAAGTCTAATTGTGTTCAAAAACAGAGAAAGAAAAAAAGCTATAAGAGTGCTGCTTGGGCGACAAACACCACCAATTAACCTAGATCAGTGGATATCCATAATAAAACTTAATGAGTTCTTTATTGGAGGCAGAGATGGTAAGCAGATGGTATCTTCACGTGGGATTCTCACTTTGAAACACAAAGATAAAAGTGTGATAAAAATGGGGGGGCAGAACATAGCATTTTGCACCAATAGACATTTTATCTAATTAAGGCTTCATATTTTTAGATAACTCAATATATTTGAAAACAAATCCAGATTGGGATGCTTTTAAACCTTAGCAGGTGTTACAGTGGTACCGATGATTGGTGGATTAGAGCAATCTGAAGGGTCCGCTGGTTGCAAATGTTTCGTATGATCTGTCCAACAAAACCCTTTTAACACAGATTAAATGAGAACTAAACACAAAGCAAATATAGAAAACCCCTCAAGACCAACTCTGGAGACAAAATAATTGAGTGTTTTATTGACCCCAAACAGGGAAAATATTTTCAATAGGTTAAACACCAGAAGTATATAATTGGTGAACAAATCCATGTTTTAATTGACTGCTCACTGTAACT